ACTCGCTTGCGCGTGCAAACCAACCAATCAGCCCTACTGACCGCATTCATGTGTTGCGGAAATGCATCTTCATGCGTCGTTCGATGAGTTCTATCACATAGCACAAAAGTCCGTTTCACTCTGAGAAAAAGTCCGTTTGCCAAGAAAGCGAATTAGGCCATGCGTGCCAACATGGATAGCAGACACATCAACCAGTCATCACCTACAGACTCGTGAACACCAAATACACCCTCTGCCTCATCAGTCATCCGTTTGAGCCTACCCTGTGTTGGCTGGACGCTACATGGATCAAGTGACACTGCTCTCGCGTGACGTGAGTGTGTGTACATACACATGGACGGTCGCTCCCAATCACTTGACGGTGTACACATCCAGGCATCGCTTTCACATGTGCCCATCCCTGGCCCTTCCACATATGAAGATGTCCACATGAACACAAATGTCCACCACACATAACTCCTGATGCACCCACACAATGACACACACACCGACAGACAGTTCATGAGAGCTGTTCGAAGGCCCACATCTTCCCCCCACTCCTACCTGACGGTCCGCGTCATCATCCCTTCCTACCCTCCGATCAGCAACACAAGCGGAAATCAACGGAGATCCGAGCCACTACACTACCACCAGGCAAACAGACACCAGGAACACACGCGAACGCACCTACGAAAGCCTGTCAGATCTGTTCTTCTAAGCTCGCATCGGCCGGGATCTTCTCCAGCGCGATCCTGGCTTCCTTTCGAAACCGGCCAAAGGCGCGCAAACTTCGGTGTCTTTCCTCTCCAGCGAACCGTAGATCTGCCTCCCCGCCTTCCCTTCCCCTCCTTTTCTCTCCCTTTCGCTTCCTTCGCCCTCTCCCCGCCTCCCTCCTCCACCACGATGCCGCTCAAACCCACTGCGCAGAAACGCAAGGCCTCCGTCCTCTTCGGCAGCGGATCCAGCACCAAGGCCACCAAGGACGTCAAGCTCGAGAAACGACCCTTCCACCAGCAGGGCGCTCCCTGCCAAAAGTGCCACGCGGTCGACCACGGCACCCCGTTCTGTTTGGCCAGTCTCATCCCGTGCATCTGTTTGGCCAGTCTCATCCCGTGCATCTGTGTGGCCAACACAAACCCGCCACCCCCGTGTGGCCGCAAGGAGGATGAGGACGATGAGGACACTCAGCCGTTGCCCGTCGAGATCCACAGGTAATTACTCTTATATACACACACGCCATGCCCCATTCATGTGGTCATGTCCCTGTGTCCACTGTGTCCATGTCCACTGTGTCTATCTGTCTGTCAGGCAAGTGTTTGTGCCCAATGCAATCACAAAAGGTATGATGATGCTCAAGCGCTGGTGCTGCCCCGATAAGAAGCCCGTCGCTGTGCAAGATGGTCAAGGCCAGATGCAGGCTCTCACCTGCCCCTGCCTCGACAAGCACAGCGACAACTTCGACCCACACGGGGAGCACTGCATCTTCGATTACCAGGCCCTCAGGATCG